GCTTAACATATAATTTATTAATTGATAATTGTGAAATTATTTATTGATTAAGTAAATATTTAGAATATTTCAAATAACAATTTTATATATTTTAAAGTTTTTAATTAATTATAAGTAAACATGTTTTTTATTTCCTTATATTTTTTTGTTTTAATACTTATTAACTAACCTGCACGTTTTGACCTTCGGCCAAATGAGCAAGAGGATTGCTCAATCCGATCTTAATTCCGACAATTGGGATCAGCCTGAAGAAATCGTTGAGAAAGGTGATTTTAATAAGGCAGACGATTCGAAAATATCCGCTAGGACGATATTATCGGCTCGTCGGTCTTCGCTCGTAAGATTTCTTTATCTCCTTTATTGTAGAAATCTGGAACTGGAGGTTCGCTGAGGTCTTTTACAGGGTTCACTAGTCTTCCTCCAACTTTTCAAAGCAATGGCTTATTCAATTTCTCGAAGAGTGAAAAAGATCAACCCAGCAAAGCCGAACCTGCTACTGACCCATCCTCTGCTAATGAACAAGACCGACGTCTTTCCCTCATAAAGTCGTTAAACGAAGGAGTTCTTGCTTGGATTACAAAGCATGTCAAAGATGATCCATACTGCGTTTTATCTCCAGTCTTTGCAGATTACGATAAACATCTGAGCACGATTGAAAAAAGAGTGCCTGAAAACGATGGGCCCAATCGAAAAGAAAATGAACATGATACAAAGAAACAAGATACAAGCCCATCACTGGCGCCTTCATCCTCTTCAGCTTTTACATTCAAATTTGCAGGAGATAAGACTTCAGGATTAACTGCAAATAAGAGGTCTACTACTGACTCTGATTCATTAGAGAGCCATTCCAAACCTTTTGAAGCAATAAGTAGCTCTCATCAACCCTTCGAATTTCCCCCTCTCGGCTCTGCCTTGACTAGTTTTACAACTCCAATTTCATCCGATAAGCATAACTTTAAAAAGACTCCGACCTTTCAGTTCGGCTTTGCCAACAAACTCGCAGCGGGTTCCCAACCTGTCCAATCTGCTGTGACTTTTTCTCTTGACGCCAAATCGAAAACCCTTTCTACCCCTGCTTCATTCCTTACACAAAGCTTCCCTCCACAGCTAGGTGCTAATAAAGAAAAGGCTGACGAAGCAGACGCCGAAGGTAGGTATCCAGCACTCTTGCTCGTTGTTGGTGCTGTTCTTATAATTCTGCAGTACGATCATTTACTTAAGTTTGTGTTTTTTAGATAACGAAGAGTATATTCCTCCAGTACCTGAGGCGCGAGAAATTAAGGAAGAAGGTTCAGTCTTCACTACTCGGTATGGTGGTTTGCTTTGGGAACCCCGATTTGACAAATTAAATTAATTTGATCTTCTTTTTTATAGCTGCAAGCTGTTTTACAAGCTGAGCGATTCTTGGAAGGAACGTGGATTGGGTAACCTCTACATTAAACCAGATGGCGATAGCAAGGACAAATTTCAACTGCTTATCAGGGCTGATACAAACTTAGGTAATTGTTTCATCAAATGTTGCCTATGCGTCGTCAGTCATTTAGAGATAATTGTGTGCCATAATCCATTGTATTTTACACTATAATTTTACCGCTTTTAGGCACCATTCTGCTTAACATTATTGTCACTAAAGATATGCCCATCAAGCAACAAAAAAACAACTTGACTCTTGTTTGCGTTCCGAATCCTCCTGTGCCTGGCGCAAATTGCGAGAAGAAAGAACTAGATTCATCCTTGAATGATAAATCAAATTTGGTACCGATGCTAATTCGCGTTAAAACCGAAGATGCCGCCTCTAATCTCTTAGAAGAGTTAAACAAATATCGGAGCTGTAGTTAGTAACCTTCCGCGTTGTCTTGTTTCCATCAATTTCTTTTCCCTTATACACTTATTCCGTCAAGGTTAAACAGAACCTCATTTTGAGTTAATTTCAACTTACTATAACCTTTTATCCCTACACTTATCTATCGACTCTCCAGTATATAAATGTTTGGCTCTTTATTTTTAGAGAATCTATTTGTGAATATTTTCATGTCGATATTTTAAGAATAAAGTTGTCTGAATCCCAATTTTCTTTGACCTTTTAGCCTTGAATAATGTTTCTACCAATGGTTAGTATAACTTGTCTTGTACGCATTCGTCTATACAAACGATGTCGCTCATATTCTTCATCAACATTTACTCACGAAATATTATAATACAATTAGTAATCATTTAGAACCCAGCATCTATTTATCAGGTTTTTTGTTTCATTCTTTATAATA